AATTCTCAATAGTTTTCAAAAGCGCTGAGAAAAATAAAATACAAATTAAGGAAAAACTGGAATTTTTACTCAAAACTGGTATTCGCTGTAACTCTAATACAAATGTAAGTACAATTTTCACCGGTTGTTTAAATTTGAATTTTATAAACACGATAAAATTTTCAAAATATTTTGATTTGTTTTGAACTGTTTAGGAACATTTTAAGTTTCCATTTTCATAAGTCTTTTAGATTCTGAGTGAAACGATGAATGTATTGATTTTACAATGATGTGTGTTTTTTTTTAATTTTTTTAATTTTTTAATTTTTAATTTTTAAAATTTTTTTTTTTGTGTCTGTCATTACGTTTTAGGACAGTAAAAGTGCTTTGGATTTTCTTCAACAGTAGCTACTCTGTTAGGAAAGTGAATCTAGTTGGTACTTTGGGGGGTCAAAATTTCACAGTAGTTTTCAAAAGCGGCGTGAAAAACAAAATAAAAATTAAGGAAAAACGGGAATTCTTACACTAAAATCTGTTTTCGAGAAAATCGATTTTGGTTTTTGGTGTAACTCTAAAACAAATGAATGTACATACATGAAATTTTCACTGGTTCTTTATATTTGCATTTTCTATACACGATAAAATTTTCGAAATAATTTTGACTAATTTTGAGCTGTTTAGGGACATTTTCTGTTTCCAATTTTTTTAGTTTTTTATTCTATAAATATCAATAAAATTTTATTGGTTTTTTAAAAAAGCTTGACAATTTAATAGAGGGCTTCTAGTATATTGTTTCAAAGGCAGATGAAAAATATTAAAAATACTTAGTCACAGTTTTTTTCTTATAAACATTGTTGTATCATGCATAATATATAAAAAATATTGTTAACTAGGTTAAGTAAACGTAAACATTCATATGTAACAATTAAAATACCAAAACAAATCAAATCATACAATACTCAATAAGCTAAGTAACAATATAGAAATAATTATGCATTCCACCAAATTAGGATAAGATATCAATTATTAAGTAATACAATAACAATTAGTATAATTTTAAGCATAGTCAGTAAGTATAATGCAACTAGGTTAAACTTAATATCGATACTACCAAGTACCAATAGTGCTTCGATTGTAATATTGATATATAAGTAATATGGGAAGACAGAAAGATGGTCAGTTGGCGGTGGTCGTGTGACTCGACTACCGCACTGACTACCAGTGTTAGAGCCAGGTGGTGATCGTGTGACTCGATCGTCACTGGACGTAAAAGTTTTAATAAAAGTGTTTATTTATAATTGTTCGTTTATTTGTGTACGTCTGTCATCGGCGTATACGACAAAGTGGCGCCCAACTCGTGGCTCTTAACTCTACGACCTTTGTGTGTGTGTTGTGTGAATACACTGATTTTTTAGAATTTATGCGTGATTTGGTACCTCAACCTTGGCACAGCTTGTGTGTGTGTGTGTGTGTGTGTGTGTGTGTGTGTGTGTGTGTGTGTTATATATACACGATTTTTTTACTCAACATTTGTGTGTGTGTGCACTGAATTTGGATTTTTACGTTGGTATATTCGTGATTTGGTACCTCAACCATAGCACAGTTTTTTTTTAATGCGTATTTATTTGGGTACATCGTGTGTATTAACCCTTGGCATAACTTTTGTGTATACGAATTATTTTTTGCATGTGAGCTAGAGGACGATATTTTGCGTTTCCATGAATGTGTGATATTTTGGATTCACCTTTACGTGGGTATTGACTAGAGAGTATGTGAATAGGATATTATGAGTTCATTTGAGTGAATGCGCGTGATTACGATATTTTGACTTGACATGTGTTTTATATTTATGCGATATTTTGATTTGGAGTGTCGTGTGTGTATGCGTATATACCTATATTTTGAGTTTACTTGTGTAGGTACATATGTCTTATATTTTGGATTTAGGTACATATATTGTATCGATGTATGAATAATGTGAATACGATAATATGACTTGTCATGTGTACGTATGTTGTATGTATACGGGGTTTTTCGGAGGTTATCAAACATGTGTGTAGTACTGTAGTATGTGAATACGAGTTTTGAGTTAGTGATCTGTGTGCAGGCGTTTGCATTCAATATTTTAGTAAATAGATACTTAAATGGATATATTGCATTATTGGGTATTTTAAGATTAGTTACCTACGTTATGGCGAGGTACAACATTAATGTACACATGTGTGGATGACTATTAACTTTGAATGTCCGTATTTAGTATTTTTTTTTTATTATTTTTTTTTTTTTTATAAATTATTATTTTTCGTTTTCATCATACTTATAAAAAAAATGAAATTAAATATTTAACACTAAATTTTGAATTTTAAATTTAAATGAAACAGTTATTACTAATTAGGTATATCGTTTATTACATATATGGACCTATATGACTATTGTACCATGTACAAACCTATTCAAATTAACTACCTATAATAGGTACAAAACAATTACATATTATTAAAATAATATAGATTAAGTTATTAAGGCACCTACATGTTTAGTATACGTATAATATACAATGAATACAAATATTGATTAAAATTAATAAATACACATAGACAAATCTTTAAGTGAATAATAAAATATTATATCTTGATTACTTATAGAATTTCTTAAAGGCATACACAACCCAAAAAAAAAAAAAAAATTAAACTTGGTTTTCATACTTAGTAGTATAAAAAAAATATCATGAAAACAGAATGTGAAAAAAAAAAGGTGGGTAAGTGGATGTCGCTCTGCTGTACTGTAGGTTACAAGTGGGTCACTGTATAATGGATGGTATTAAATTTGAATTCAATGATACAATATCATTGTATAAGAAAAACGATTCTGAGCGAAGACGGTATGTCAGTCTAGGTTTAAGACAAATTATATACATATCTATGGTATTAAAAAAAAAATTGACCTATAATAAATTCCAAATTAATCATATCACATTATCACAATATCCATTAGGTACTTATAACACGTTATACATCAAGATCAATTACAAACCCTGATACTATCATTGATATATAATAGTACACTTTAGAAGTTTCAAGTAGGTACCCACGAATAATATTATATAATCACAACAAAATAACTAGGTTTTTTAATATGTAATTTCGTCCAAATTTGAACATAAAATGACTATAAAAATAAACTGTGATTGTATATTTTTTAGATTTTTCGGTAAGAGAATTAACTACTTACGTAGAATCTTGTTTTAAATTTTCAATCCTTAGCTATAAAAACTGAACATTTTAGAATTTATTAATTACGATGATTAATAATTTTCGAGATTTTGAAAAATTCTGTCAAAATTCGATGTTTAAATGCTTATAAAAAAAAACTGTGCCTATGTATTTTTAATATTTTTCAACTGCTATTGTAACAATATATCAGGAGCCTTGTATTAAATTTTTACACTTTTTGGCCCAACAGATAAAACTTAATTGATATTTGTAGAAAAAAAAACTAAAAAAAATTGAAAGCTGTAAATGTCCATAAACAGCTCAAAAAGAGTCAAAATATTTTCAAAATTGTATGGTGTATAGAAAATGCTAATTTAAACATTGAGTGAAATTTTCATGTATCTACAGTTGTTCGTTTTTGAATTGCAACAAAATAAGGAAATCGCTACATGAGTAATAGAGTGAATATCCAATGTTGTAAAAATTTGAATTTCAAACGCTCATAAAAATTTAACTTGAGTGTCCGGTAGAGATTTTTTTATTGATAAAGGTAGATAATCTTATAAGGAATCTTGTGTTTCATTTTCAAATCTTAGATTTAAAAAGAAAAATTTTTACGAATTCTTAACTCAAAATAATTTGCTAATTTTCGTGATTTTTCCATATTTTGTCAATTTTTGAACTTTAAATGCTTATAAAAAAAAATTGTGACTAAGGATTTTTAATATTTTTCATCTGCCTTTGAAACAACATATTAGGAGCCTTCTATTAAATTTTCAAGCTTTCGCAACCAACAAATACAATTTTATTGATATTTTTAGAAAAAAAACTAAAAAAAAATGGAAAATGAAAATGTCCCTAAACAGTTCAAAATAAATCAAAATATTTTGAAAATTTTATCGTGTATAGAAAATGCAAATATAAACAACCAGTGAAAATTTCATGTATCTACGGTCATTTGTTTTAAAGTTACACCAAAAACCAAATTCGATTTTGTCAAAAACTGATTTTGCGTAAAAATTCCAGTTTTTCCTTAATTTTTATGTTGTTTTTTCCCGGCGCTTGTGAAAACTATTGGGAATTTTAAATTTTGACCTCCCCAATGCACCAACGATATTCACTTTCCAATCGAACAAGATACTGAAGTCGAAAATCGAAGCATTATTTCGACTACTTATCGTGTACACAGACACAAAAATAAAAAAATAAAAAAAAAAAAAATAAAAAAAAAAAAAAAAAAAAAAACACACATCATTGTAAAATCAATACATTCATCGTTTCACTCAGAATCTAAAATTATTCACAGAGTTAAGGCGAAATCAAAATAAACCTGTGACGTCATTGCGTCGGACGTCTCAGCGCGGCACTGGCAGCCGGTCGCAACAAACCGTATGAAGAATACGTATAATAATATTCTCGTCGCCTGCCGATCGCTAATCGCCAATTATTTTTTTTTTATTTCCATAAATAGGTCCTTAATTATTTATAAATTATAAATATAACACTATTCCTAAATACTTATAAACTTATAAATAATAAACGTCATTGCGTCGGCCATTTCCAAGCGGCATCGGCAAACATATAAAAATTATTATTATTATCGTCGAATGTCGAGTATCGACATGTCGACTGTTATTATTTTGTTGCAGATTCATGATGTGTTTCATTTTTATTTGCTATCATTTAATTTCGTATATAATACCAAGTGAAATTTAATAAATTTACATTATAAATCTCACTACTTATACACAGAATAATAATGTCTTTAATACCATTCAATTTTGATCCTGACATTGAAGGTATAGACCGTTACTTACTCAAATTGAAATTATGGTCAATTATAGCAATTATTGATTTTATGTACATCGCTTTAAAAGAAAAATGAACACGTTTTGGAACATATTTTAATGTTAAATTATGGTAAGACTCTAATCTTCCCGCGTGTACATAATTTTTTGTTTGCTTTAAATCTGTCAAACACTTTTTGTTGCAAATTATTTCTTTTAATAGTTCATAACGTTTAGAATCAGGAAGTAACCATAGTTTTTGTTTTTTGTACTCATCACTTAATGGTGGATGTTCACAAGTTTTTTTTAATCCATCCTCTTCCCATTCATGAACGTTTTTAATATGTTTCAATATAGATGTAAATTTTGTGACTAATACTTCAGAATCGCCATTGCATGTTTGTGCCGACCACCATAAATGATTACTTATAGATTGCTTCCATGCTAAAACTTCTTCGTATTTTTTATTAATTGTTTTAAATTTTTTCATTAGGCTTTTAGATAAATGCCATAAATCAAATTCATGTGTGATTTCTGGGTAAGATGTTTTCAACAAATGCCTTATTCCTACATGGCGGTCGGTTAATAATAAATCAATTTTGCATTTATCGGTACCTATTAATTTATCAATTAATTGTTTACAAGCATTTTTTTCTAAATCTCCCGGCATCATTTTTTTTTTGAGTTAATTGAAAATCTACTATACAACCAGAATTAATGTCCATAAAAGTATAAGTACAATATTTGGCACAAAAACCAGGTGAACCGTACTGACCATCTCCAGCAATCCATAACTGTCCACTTTCCTTGACATAATTCATCTGTTCTGTTCTCTTTTTCTCCCATATTTTTTCGATTAGAGGGTAAGAATATTTATTCATAATTTTATCGTATGTTGTTCTACTAAACATTACAAGTTTTAAACTTGAACAAAATACTTTAAACGTAGCAAATAAAGTACCAGATAAAAGTATAGATGTAGCAATATGTACGTGACCCTTAGAAAATTGTTTATTAACAGGCTGTGAAAACCATTTTGATGAGTGACCTTCGCTACATTCTGATCTTACACATATTGTTGCACCAATTGCGTACCATTTTTTATTTATTATTTTACTTTTACAAATATTACAAACTGTAAACAGTGTTAGTAATGAATTAATAAATACTAAACAACATTTTATTTCGGTATTTTCAACATTATCAAATTCTTCAGTGTAGTCTTCCTCCTCATTTTCACACTCAAAATCGGGATCATCATAAAAATCATTATCTGTATATGACGCGTTTTCTTCTACATCACTTATATTATCCTCCGTACAACTTAACTTTACCTCATTTTTATTATGTTCATATGAATCAATATTTGATTTTTTAGCGATTAAACTCTCAACCATATCTTTTTTTTCTTGATTTTTTATTCTTTCAGAACGGGGTTTTTTAGTTGTTGCATTACCATCGCTATTTTTATCATTATTTATTACAAATATTGTTGGTACCGTACCTGGTTTTAAGCGGGGTGATCTTGACTTGTATTTGTCTCCCAATAACTTTTGTTTTAAAATGTCTGAGTCATCAAAATCTTGACTTTTAAAATGATGAGAACATATCACAGAATTATTAGTTGGTTTAAAAAGTTTACGCTTGCAAAAATTGGTCCATTTATTAAAACGCACAGGTGAATTATCGCGATTAGGAAATCTATGCGTTCCTTTATTGTTACTACAACCAAATACACTACAATACACTACAATACGGCATTATTTTCTTCGAATATTAAGTATTTAAGTATATTATATTTTTGCAGTACACATACGGAACAAAAATGATATAACGCGACGCACTAGTACACTACATACCGACTAGGCGAAAAGTGAATACTGCAGACGAATTGGTTAAAATTGTTCGGTCAACAGAAAGTCTTGAGTATCATTTATAAGTATTTAGGAATAGTGTTATATTTGTAATTTATAAATAATTAAGGACCTATTTATGGAAATAAAAAAAAAATAATTGGCGATTAGCGATCGGCAGGCGACGAGAATATTATTATACGTATTCTTCATACGGTTTGTTGCGACCGGCTGCCAGTGCCGCGCTGAGACGTCCGACGCAATGACGTCACAGGTATATTTTGATTTCGCCTTAACTCTGTGAATAATTTTTTTTTCACATTCTGTTTTCATGATATTTTTTTTTATACTACTAAGTATGAAAACCAAGTTTAATTTTTTTTTTTTTTTGGGTTGTGTATGCCTTTAAAGACATTAAAATATGGGGAAAATAACATATACTTGATAATAAATAATAATATATTCCTTATGTAAAATATAAAGTTTAAATCTGGAGTTGCAAAAGTTAGTTTTGTAGCTTAGTCGTTGAATCAGTAACAATCTATAATATTATTTAATAATGTGACAAACCTTTTTTTTTATTTTTAAAAATAGCTTGAGACTATTTGTTAATATAAATATTATTGTATTGCATTTTAATATTAATATCTTATTAATTATTATATTCATTTTAACAAAAATTGTCTTAAACAAATGATTAATAATAAAAAAAAAAAATGTTAATAAAAAATAATATCTTATATTGATATATTTAATGTATAATATAACTTTTATCTTTAGTTCAGTCATCTATTAACTATGTTAAAAATTATTAGTTATTAGAAATGTATAAAATATAAATTATATTTAGCGCATATCTACATAAATATACAGAAATATTTTATCTAGTGTAACTTTTAACATACCTATATCATAATTAATTACATACGTATCTATTAATATTGTGAAATTATAGTTCAATAATACTTTTATTAAAACTGCATATAAATTTTTTTTCTATAATGCTACATTGTTTTTTTTAGTGTTCATTGTTTACATTATTGAGGTTTATAATACTTTCATCATGTTAAATTTTAAATTTTAAAACCTAAAAATAATTGTTATTATTATGCTTTTGTTGTTGCAGCATATTTCTAATTTTAATATGAAACTATCTGTTCAATCGATTGTTAAATTGTTGGTATGTAAGCAAATTGCTGTGATTACACCTTTATAAGTATTATATTATATAACTTTTGAATAACACCTTTATTTTTCAACTTTAACAACATCTTATTATTTGTACACAAGAATATTGTAAAATTTCACTTCTGTTCAAAAATATTTATTTTTTTTATCATTTGTAATCATGTTATCATATATTATTTACCATTTACCTTATTTTTGACTTGGGTTTTATAGTTTTATTTATCAATTATTTGTAGAAGTGCATATGTTTACATACTGTTTTTTTTTTTTTTATTAAACCTTGGCATTGACAATTGTAATATGATTAAATACATGTGACGAAATAATAGATCAAACGATTCAAACAAAACATCATCGTCCATCGTCCATCAGCGATACACCGATAGGTACACAAAATGTTCGACCAATCTAAGGACTGGAAAGAAGACTTCTAAATCTATATCCAACGACCACTTCTTTGAGAGAAGACCAAAAAAAAGTAAAAATATTTATTTTTGTTGACCACGTAACTCCATCACCATCAACTTCTATTTAATTTTATATACAAAACCCATATATAATTTAAATTTCATTCTCAACTGAAATAATTACTTAAAATTAATATGAGGACATATTTTATGTTACATAGGGGTGTGTTGTATCATGCATAATATATAAAAAAATATTGTTAACTAGGTTAATTAAACATTCATATGTAACAAGTAAAATACCAAAACAAATCAAATCATACAATACTCAATAAGCTAAGTAACAACATAGAAACAATTATGCATTCCACCAAATTAGGATAAGATATCAATTATTATGTAATACAATAACAATTAGTATAATTTTAAGCATAGTCAGTACCTAAGTATAATGCAACTAGGTTAAACTTAATATCGATACTACCAACAGTGACCCACTTGTAACCTACTGTACAGCAGAGCACCTTTTTTTCTATGAATGTCAATAAAACTTTATTTGTTGAGCAAAAAAACTTGAACATTTAATACAAGGCTCCTAATATATTGTTAAAAGGACATTTGAAAAATATTAAAAATCCTTAGTCACAGTTTTTTTTATAAACATTGAAAGTTCAAATTTTGACAAAGTACGGAAAAATCACTAAAATCAGAAATATAATAATTATTTTGTATTAAAAAAAAAAATTTTCCACGTATTTAGGTTATATATAAATTCCTTTGTTTACAATAATATCATCAAATATATTTAATTATATCATAGGCATACTCACTGCCTTAGCTCAGAACCGTTTTTTTTATAAAATTATATTATATCATTGAATTAAAATTTAACACCATCCATTACAGTGGCCCATTCGTAGCCTACTGTACAACAGAGCGGCAACCACTTGCCCACCTTTTTAATAATAAATTCTAATATTTTTTTAAGATATAATTTGTTTATTTGAAGCAGGGCTTGAAACCGGTTATCGGACCCGGTAACCTATTTCTTCAGGAGCGGTTTCAAGCCCTGATTTGAAGTGATAAACCTGACAATACGTACGTATACAAAAAAGAAATACTAAAAAATATACTAATTCATATTATTACAATAAATATTATAATCTGCTAAGACTGTAACTAATGGAGACCATTAATAAACAAAAAAAATCGATTTCCTTCGTGGATCTTAAAAGTTAAAATCCATGTGTGAGAACGTCTTTAAAATGAAAATTTTGGAAAACCCTTTCATATTACACCCCTTTATGGTGGAATAAAGGTACCAAGAAACCTTCAAGTCTCCAGCTATCATCATTTAGACATTGCTACGTTAGTAAGGACACGTTCGATTATATAAACGTTTAAGAAATAATATATTGTTCACCTGCTGAAGAATTACACAAAAAATATTGTAGGGATAAAGTGTTATTTTGACAATAAAATGTAATATTTTTCATACTGAGTGGAGCTATAAATGTAAAGGTCTTGAAATTGTGTGTATTCTTATATACTGTGTCTCAAATCTCAATACACATTTTATAGTAGAAAACATGATTCGACCATCGACTCCGAAGGCAGTTCTAGTAGAAAATTAGTTTGAGGGTCAACAATTATTTTTAAAATTTTTCTTTATGCATATCGTAAAAACATTTCTCACTGGTCAAAAACCTTAAAAATGTAATACAAGGTTCGTCACAATATTTTATAATAGCATTTCAAAAATATTAAAAATTGATCAAAATCACCATAAAAAATAAATTGTTTTGTGGTTAAAAATCTATAAAATGTGTAATTTTTATAGCTAAGGATTTAACATTTAAAACATCGTTTCTCATAAGTAATTCATAGTATACTAAAAAATCTAAAAAATATATAAACACAGTATTTTTTAATAGATATTTTAATAGTTCAAATTTTAGCGAAATTTTATATTTAAACAGAGAACAATGATTTTAGTTATATTTTGTAATTTAAAAATATTATAAGCTGATAGGTCATCTTCGCTAAGAATCGTTTTTCGTATAAAATTATTTTAGAATAAGTCATTGAATTCAAATTTAACACATCCATTACAGTGAGTCACACCACACGACACTTAATGTACAGTTGAACGGGGTACCTACTTGCCCATCTTTTTCGTTATTATGAATATATTTCAAATTTTTTAGTATTTTACATTTTTAATTGTATAAACAATTGTAAGTGTTTAATAGACCATCGATTCCTATATCGGTGAGTGGTGGGAGGATAACCCCGTATACTTTATTTAATAACGATATTATAACCTGACGATTCAAAACCATGACCACTCGTCGTTACTCTTAAACATAATACGTATACCTAATAAAGTAACAAAACCAGCTACATAATCAAACGTGTCCGTTTAGAAAAACACAAATTTATACAACCGAATAACCGATTGTCGTCTAGGTACGTGTTTATTTATTGATTCAATTACGGACGTCGTCGTCTTTGTCGAAACTCATTGTCTTATAATTAAAAATGCTAACGTAACTTCTAACGAATCCATCGTACAATGTAAAAACAAATTAAAATCAATGTCAGCTATGTAGGTACGAATGTAAGGTTATTATTATTAATAGTATTAGGTATCGATTGAACGGACGGCAGACGGAATCACGTGAAATTTCATCACTCGGATCTCTGGCCAGCGATCGCAATAATAACTGATTTCTTAGTTATGAGTTGTTATATGATACAGGCCAACCATAGGCCAACGAGTGCATAACATTATTAATTATTATGTTTAATATGTAACAATAATAACAATAGTAATAATAATAATAATAATAATAGTATTTTTTCGCAAACGTATGCAGTCATAACTGAATGCGAATAATAATACCTACATCTATATACATCCTGAATAAATTAGTTTTCTTCTTAAACTATAGACTAAAATGTTTAAAATACACAGGTTTTTATTTTTATACCAAACTTATAATTTTAAGTTTCAAAGCACGTATGGAATATATTATAAAAATCAAGTCCTTGCCCAATAACTTACGTTGTTTTAAAAAGAAGCTGTCACTAGCCTTAAGCCAGTTAATTTTTGTTTTATAAGATTGAATAAGCTTCACTAATTTACTATAGTAGTAGTAGGTGTTCAATAATACTCGAATTTATAAATCTGGGACTGTTTTAAAATACTTATCCTTAAAATTTCTAGTTGACAGGATACCTCATTAGGGTAGTTAAGCATAGAGTTTTAGCAATTTTTTTTTTATAGACACTAAAATATAGATTGCACGCATAAAATGTGAAAACTAAAAAAGTAAAAACTAATTAAAATCAATAGCAGCTACACGAATTTTATCGATTAGAGTGACAACAGACGTAGTGCAACGACGAAGTACGTGAAGTGGCATCACTCTATCGATGGCCAGCTATCGCAATTCACAATAATAACCGATTTATTATGCGTTACATGATACAGTGGTAACTAGGCGAACATGTGCATAATATTATGTATGATTTAATGTAATACAATTTTACAAACGTCGTAATACGTATACATAACTTCGACAACTGTATGAATAATTATGGCACCTAAATAAAGGTTTAATATCGTAAAGAATAGTTTTTTTTATTTAATATACAGAATAGACTGAAATGTAACATGTATTATAGTAATTAGATGTTAATTTGTAAAAGAAACGTTGAAACTTATCTTTTAAATTTTCAAAGCACACATGCAAGCTATTGGAAAAATTAAGGACTTACATAATTTAAGTTTCTTAAAAAGGAATTGTCTTTTTTTGCATTAACACCTAAGGCTATCTGTCTTATTTTTAAAATAACTTGCTTAACTTATTTGGTTATTTAATACTTAAATATATATCTCTGAGTACTTTAAAAATAAGTTTTTAAGATATTTATCCTTAAAATGTCAGGTTGAAAGGTACCCCAATCGGATAAAGCATGGAGTCATAGGTTATATTTTGATCGGTATTCTAAAATACAGAGAGAACCCCTAAAATGTAGTATTTTCATATAAAATCATTAGCTGTTAGTAATATTAATTATCCATTTCATCTAGATCAATTACAATTTAAAGTGACTGTATATAATCAATACGCTAGCTAAATAAAGACTTATTCTTCATAGTAGAAAATACTGGCGTCTTTTGTAAATATTTTAGTGCTGGAAATTAATATGATCAATATTGATTTGTTCAATTGTAATAAAATTGATAAATCTAAAGTTTATTTTGCGTGTGGGTCTGCGATGGAAAACAAGTGGTCTGCTGACATCATCTTTAAATATGTTTTTAATGATGAGCGATGACAGTATTTATTATTTGTAATTATTTTATTTATTATTTTGACAGTATTATTATTTATTATGTTGAATGTTATTGAATTTTAAATGAATCTATATTATGATTAGTGATTACATAAAAATTCCAATTAAAATTTGTATAACATCAATAAAGATATTTAAAGAATTTACCGTTAAAAAAATAATTTTTCATTTTAGAGAAAATGTTATCTGTTTTCATAGAAACAAAATGTTGTTGGTCAATATTAACTATTATTAACTATTATTTACGATTCAATGATATAATAATTCACATTTTTTTTTTAAACAAGTTTGTCAAAATTGAATCATGAGTATAATGTGTATTTATATTTAATTTGTACCTACTTAAGACCAATATATATGTAAAATAATTTAAAAACCAAGAGTCTTACATTCGTATTAACATTTACCCTATATCAATACACTTTGACCGTGTTTAGATGGATTCCATATTCGTCCTCCCTCCCCACAAACCAAAATGCGAATACCGAAGCCAAATTCATTTGATTCTCTGAAATTTTTGTTTTCAAATATTATAGTTCTTAAATGACGAAAAACTTAAAATTAAAATCATAAACGGTCTATTTGTACAATATCAACCTCAGCTTATGTATGTTCCATTTCAATTGAGAGCCGCTGTGCGTAGGTGAATAATATATTACACTGCAATAACATAGGGGCGTTTCCAGACCTTGGTCATGGGGGGGGGCTAAATAATAAAAAAATAAATTCTATGACCGCGAATACATGTTTTGATAGCAAGATAATATTATGAAATTTCATATTATATTATAATTTCATATGAAAAAAAAAATGTCAAATAATTTAATATAAATTATAAAATTTACCAATAATTACTAAGTAAGTCAGTCACCTTACGGAGGGGGCGCCCCCCTCGCAGGGACGCCCCTGCTATAACATAAATAATTGATAAATCGTTATGTATAGGTATGTCATAGACCCGGTGCACAGTATAATTATTTAATACACGCATCATCGCATCCGAAAAAAAAAATTCGGTCACGTGCGGTGATGGTCACAATATAATATAATATTATGCCAACGACAATTCGTATAAATACAGTCGTCGGGAACGCCACTACACCAGTTATCAATTATTTGGCCGACAGCAGTCTACTCGTCACTCGCCTATATAGTACTATATTATACTGCTCCGTTTAAAATACGAAAAAATTCAACCACACTCCACAGAAAAATGAACACCAACACTATGGTAAGTCTATATTCATCACAACCCAATATATTATATTTAAAATTATCCATCTTTACGTCCGTTCGCTATTGAAATTAATTAAATATTATATTAATCGACACCTCAATTAATTATATAACCTTAATTAATAATTACTATACATATAATATTATGTTTCTACGACATTTTTTTGCATTCGACTATATAGTACCTATCAACAAATTATATTATATTCCTAACGAATTTTATTGGATTTATAACTTTTATGTATACTCGTAAGGACTATATTTTCAAACGCTCGTATTTTTATTTCATTCGAGGGGAGTCTTGTACTCTTGTGACCATACCAACTTCTACTTTAAAATGAAAATCACCCTTTTTCTTATAAATTGTTAAGCTGATGAATTTTTTTAAATAGTTTATGTTGGTAAATCGAAATAAGGACAAATAGCTGTTGTGTTATTTAACAATATGTACCAAGAATAATAGGGTTGGAATGCAATTATATGCAGGCTATAATGATTTGATAATTGTAGTGATTAATACTATAGGTAGTCTATTAACGTTTTTTTAATTTGTAAACATTATCAACAATTTTCAGTAAAACTGATTGTTTCTCGTTTGAAAAAAAATGTGTTCATATCAACACATGACAAGGACATTCCTTTAACGGTAGACAAAATTCAAGTATTGGGGAAATATGGTCCTTAAGTGTAGATACTCAAGAAGGAGCTTCCAAGATTCATAATTTCAATAAACTCATAATACCTATAGATTAAAAATGAGCTATGAGCATCCATACTTCATAGTGAATCACTCTGTCTAATGGAAATTAATTTTTATAAAAGTGTGTAGATAATATTATAAAATCAATATAATATTTGGTAAACAAAGTTGTAACACTAATTATTTTCATCAGTTTTTAATTAAAAGTGCATTTTATTTCTATTATGGTTAGAATAGACTCGCAATAGAGTCATGATAAGGGTTTACAGTATTTGATAAATGTATATTGTATGTATATAATAAAATAGTTATTCTAACTGTGATTAGGTAACAATTTAAGTGGAATGAAGACAATAATGGGTAAATAAACTTTAAATGCTTAGTAATGAAAATCTATGTTCGTTAAATTCCCATTTTTATAGGTACATAGAAATGTTAAAATAAGTAATAGGCGTTATCATGGTTTCAGATTATAAATAAAATAAAATTCTAGGTTGTTTTAAAAAAAACCAAATTTTGTATGGTGATCTCGACAAAAGACTGAGTGTGGCGATATTTGAGGGCAATGAAATAAATTAGAACCCCGAAAACCCCCCTCAACTACGGCTTTGCTAAAAATACATAACTAAATACAAACTAATTTTGTTATTATTATTCTTTTCCACAGTCGCTGTTTGCTCTGATCGTCTGCTGCCTGGTCACCATGTCCTTCGCCGCCCCATCCGGTTTGGTCCCTGCGCCCCTAGTCGCAGCACCGGTCGTGGCCGCCCCCGTCCAACCTGTGGTCACCGCCTACAGTTCGCAGTACGTGGCCAGGAACTACAACGGCATCGCAGTCGCGCCAGCCGTCGTCCCGTCCGCGGCCGTCGTCGGATATCCAGCGCCCGCGCCCATCTACGCACCCGCCGCATACGCCTACCCGAGTCCACTGGTCCAAGACTACTTGTTCTAAAATTCCAGCAAACATTCGTAACATTCTCGTGCGTCGAAGTCCCTTCGTCACTATCGTACTTCATCTCGCACTCATCTATACCTAAGCTTAAGTCATATTATTATACATATTATCTATTATAACAACAATATGTTTGTGTGATTAATACACTGTCATGTTTCTTTTGACGACCATTGTACGATTTTTAAAATATAAATAAACCGAAAAACGTTTACTCTTCACAAAGCCTGGTCACCATGTCCTTCGCCGCCCCATCCGGTTTGGTCCCTGCGCCCCTAGTCGCAGCACCTATCTTGGCTGCCCCCGTCCAACCTGTGGTCACCGCTTACAGTTCGCAGTACGTGGCTAGAAATTACAACTGAATCGCCGTGGCACCCGCCGTCGTCCCATCCGCGGCCATCGTTGCCTACCCTGCCGCAGCACCCGCACCCGTATACGCACCCCCTGGACTCGCCTACCCAGGACCCCTGGTTCAAGACTATCTTTTCTAACGACGATCTTACCAAATATATTGTAAATAATATTGCATAAAATATACGATGCTCGCAAATATTGCATATACTATAATTATTATTGATTACGACAATAATCTGTAGGTGGAAGGTTTTCGGTAGGTAATCAACTTTTGATATACTTGGCAACGAATAAAATGTTTACAAATATCCGTTCAAGTAGTTCCGATAAATGGTATTAAACTTAATAATAATCTGTAACCGTTTTCGTAACGTAACAACACATAGTACCAAAAAATGTGTTGTTCAATAATTGTTACTCACCTACATAGTTCTATAGTGTGCAATGTATACATACCGGTCAATGCCCATATGCACGAAAACGAAATGATCATAATATAGTAACTTCAAATTAACTGTGTTTTAATTTTTCTATACTTAATCTTTATGTGATGTAGTAAGTAGTTAATAATTCATAAATAATAATAGGAATTGGTGTACTGCTCGGCAAAAAAAAATAAAAAACAGGTAAGTGGATGTCGCTCTGTTGTACAGTGTGGGTCACTGTATAATGTAATTGTATACGAAAAAAGAATTCTGAGCCGAGATTGTTTGTCAATGTGGATATTTTATATTATATTAATTATATTGTTAGGTATTAATTATTATTAATACGGTAGCCGGTAAGTTGATTTAATATTATAAAATTACAACAAAATAATTAAAATTGTTATTCTTGGTTATTTAATATGTAATTTCGTCGTAATTTGAACATAAAATAATTATAAAAAAAAAGCCGGGTTTCTATATCATTAAGATTATTTGGTTACCTACCGAATAACCTACTTACGTGGAACCTTGTTTTAAATTTTCAATCCTTATCTATAAAAGTTGTATAATATTTAATATATATTTTTAACTACGATATCATTTTTAGGGTTCCGTACGTTTCCCTACGGAAGCCTATTACTTTCGCTCGGCCGTCCGTCCATCCGTCCGTCTGTCGCCAGGCTGTATCTCATGATTCATGAACTATGAAAGTTACAAAGTTGAAATTTTCACAGATTATGTATTTCCGTGGATGCTATAACAATCAATACTAAAAAAAAGGGATAGAAGCAACCCCGGGGGGGGGGGGGGGGTACTCAAACGGGGATTTTGGGATTTCAGATCGAAATTTTTGTTTATAAATAGTTACCACGAGTGACGTCGTATTGTTAATAAATGGTTGCCATGAGTGACGTCGTATACAAAGATTCGTTTTATAAATTTCAATACAGAATTATAGTGAATCGTTTTAAGTTACAAAATTATAAAGTCCACTGTTATTTTCCTTGCCGGAACAAGTACCTACTGTTGAGGAGAAACTGCTGAAATTTAGATAACAGATATATTCGACATCACCGAGACTACTATTCGTAGTAGGTACAACTGATACACTTGATATCCGACTGTTTACAGACAACAATTTCGATTTCCAATACTTATTAAGTGAATGGTGAATCTAATTATGTGGAGGACGATTGTGTTAATGTTTTTCATAACATTTTACATCGTTATACGTCTTCCGTATTTGTTATTTACAGTGGTTGAATTGGGGGGGGGGGCGCGGGGGGACGGAGTCCAACTTCTATTTTTAAAATATTTTAGCGTACCCCTTCTAATTTCAAGAATTGATAAGACATTTAAATGTTGGGGGGACGCACAAATGTTTTATACTTTTGCATACCCCTTCTATTTTTTTTCCAATTCAAGCACTGGTTATTTACCTATATAAATTTAAATACAAAATACATTACATAAATAAATAAGAGATGAAAATATTGAATGGCCTGAAGGAAATTTATTAACCTGGCCTGAATTTTTTTCAAACCCCGCAAATGACAACAGACATTAGATAATGGTACGGAACCCTTCGTGCGCGAGTCCGACTCGCACTTGGCCGGCTTTTTAAATTTTAAATTTGATAAATGTTGTCAATAATTCAACTTTACAATGCTTATAAAAAAAAACTGTGGCTTTGTATTTTTAATATTTTTCAACTGTCATTGTAACAATATCTTAGGAGTCTTGTATTAAATGTTCAAGCTTTTTGACCCAACGAATTAAATTTTATGATATTTTTGAAAAAAAAAACTAAAAAAAATGGAAACTGAATAATATGTCCATAAACAGCTCAAAACAAGTTAAACTATTTTGAAAATGTTATTAAGTGTATGAATTGAAAAAATAAACTTATGGTGTACACTGTACATAATATCACGTATCTACGGTCATTTGTTATAGAGTTACACCAAAAAACAAAATCGATTAACCAGTTTTTTCTTAATTTTTATTTTGTTTTTTCCTGCGCTCTTAAAAGCTATTGGGAATTTTAAATTTTCATCTTCTGAATGTACCAACTATAGATTTACTTTCCCATCGAATTAGATACTGATTACGAAAATTGAAGCAGTTTTACCGCCCCAAACAGTGATGACAAACACGAAAATAAAAATAAATAAATAAAAAACACACATCATTGTAAAATCGACCAATTCATGGTTCAACTCAGAATCTAGAACAATTTATGAATAATTATATGCCATAATACGTTATATTGTTTTGTTCTAACATTTAATTATTTGACATGTATGATTTAAAGATTTAAATATTTATCAAAGGCGGGCAACTAACTTGAGTTGGTTTAATTTGTTGATGTTTAACACAACATTGACTTTTGCATTTAATATAATATTTAGGTACCCAATAATATATGTTTAACTCTAAACGTTTAAAGTTAGATAAAATGTTTAGTACCTTTATATGTTGAGTACGCATACACACGTTCACGATCGCGATAGTGCAAAACTTAAGACCTATCAATAATGAACCATACACAAAATAAAATTTTAGTTTTATGGATTATGATTTAAGAGCAAATTTTATCAAATAATTTAATCTATAGGAAATATCTATTCACAAAGCTATATTTTCTCAAGGGCCTTCTACAACAATATTAAATTATTGTATGCCGAATAATAATTAAAATTACCAAATAATTGGTATAAAACAAATCAACATTTATTAACATAACAATATAAATATATAGTAGGTAATATAATAATTATTTAATCTACAAGTTCACCTAACACTTTATAAAAACAATAAGTTGTTGCTTAGGTTTAAGTTAAGATTATAAAGAAAACAAACTAATATAGTGTACGGTTGGACTGATGATTTTAGACACGTAAGATGTTTCTGATTGCTTGATTTCACACCCAAGATGTGGGTGGCGTTAACGACAAACTTAATAAAACAATCACGATGAATAACACATTATTAATTCATTAAATAAATAAAAATAACTTTTAGGTGATTTTTAGGAAATGAAAAACAACTCTTACTAAAAACAAATAATTGAAGATAATAACAAAAATGGCAGGTGTGACACACGTGGAAACAAAAATGGACCCTCTTTTAGTTTTGTGTAATCAAATAGAGTTGGCGGAAACAAATTGGATCCTTATAATTACCTATCAAAGAGGTCGTTAAAAGGAACTCAAGAAAGCCATATTATAGCGTATAGGTTGTTAATCATTTTTATTATATTTTTGAGTACCAATTATAAATATCTCTACGTTTTAATAGGTCTGTTTCATAAAATTGTTCCACTTAAACTCATATTAAGCTCATAATATAATATTATCTTCTATAAGAAAATCTAGTGAATCCCAAACATAATATCCCTTACAATACTACTAAACAACGCCAACAGACTAATCCAAAATAAAAACTAACCACAATTTGTACCTACCTAACGATGGACAGACACTAATATAGTAATATTATACTCTAATAGTTAGATACGCTCTACCAAAAAATAAATTATGACTATTATATTATCGTTGAACGGTTTCCTCAATATTAATTTTTTTATATTTTAATGGCCCATTGAGCAATTTGTACCATTTTTCTTTGCAGTAGCGTAAGCAGGATTTTAGTTCGGTTAGGGTTTTACCTGAGTAAATAATTTACATTATTTTTTTCTAAACAGTTTTTATATGACAAATTATAGTTAGTCTCATATTTAGTCTACATTTACAGTATTTAATCTGATCATCTATAGCGCCTCTTCGGGCCGTAATAAACGTGGTAATAATCGATGAACGATGATACACCATCGACTATGGCAGACGTTTAGGAATGTTCTAAATCAGCCAAAAAAAAAAAAAAAAAACGAAACTATGATTATTGACGTCGTTGTCATATTCAACAATTTATTTTATATCTATAAAAAATTACCAACAATTGATCTGAGTGTACCAAAATGCCAAATCGATTTTTTTTCTGGGGGGGGGGGGTCAGAACCCTACAACCCTACTCATGCGTACGCCACTGTTTCTTTGTATACTGTTATCACATTTACTTAATAATTAATGTATGTTGTAGACAGTAAACATTGTGAATTAAGGATTTATTAAATAAAAAATAGTAAAACAAAAGGGGGAAAGCAGGTAACCGCTCAGTTGTAGGTCTGTAGATATAATCATATAGTAAGTGTCAAGT